TTTGCACGATTGATTTGATCGATCCTCTTGGTTTCACTGAGGACCCAGTCAATTTCTAGATAGCAAAATATCTTAGTGATGAGCAGAGAGACCTTAGAGAAAGGGAATAAGGGGACCGGAATCCTGGTTACGGAGTCTCTCTCTCTCTCTTCCCAGACTATACATGTTCTTGTTTACACGGCACACGGCGGCCTTCAAGAGTTGATCAGTGATGAGAAGATTCAATTCAGCTACAGGAGGATCAACAAGATTCTTGATCATCAACGTTGCCATAGTCTGCAGTCTCCACCTTGATGTACGTTTGGCCACTGCTGCCAAGCAAAATGCAGACTGTCAGAATAATCCTTCTTCATGCGGGAACATCCGAAACATAAGCTACCCATTCCGCTTGAATTTGAGGGACGACGACCCACGCAGCAATTGCGGCGACCCTCGCTTCGAACTCACCTGCGAGAGCAATCGTACCATCTTATACTTGAATGACGATCATGGGGCACACTATTATGTCAATGCGATCTGGTACAAGAATTGGACAATTCGATTGGTGGATCCCGGTCTACAGGATGGCAACTGCTCCTCCATGCCTCTCTTTTACTTCACTTCGAGATGGAGAAATGCTCACGGTTTGTATTATTTGCGGAGCTATAAATATGTAGTATTCGTGAGGTGCAAGAGCCCTTTGACGGTAAAGTCTTATGGTGGTGAATATGTGGATACTTCCCCCTCCATCAACAATGTCAATGGTTCTGGTTCGGGCTCGGGCGTCTCTTATTCTTACGCTATTCTGGTAAAACAAGTTGGGGAGATCCCGGAGGGATGCATCATCCATGCGATGGCCCCGACCCTGTTGGAGGAATTTGGGAATCGTTCTTTTCCTGAAATCCACCATCAACTCACTTTGGGGTTTGATCTCGTGTGGGATTCATCGTTCTCAGGTATTTATTGGGAATATTTATAATTTTCTATACTTCTTTCAAAATGGTTTTCTCTTTCTGAAAGACTGCACGTCTGCACCAGTGGGTTGAATTGGAACAAACTGGAATTAGCCCTTTTCTTGCTCCATGTCCAGCCAGTTTTCACAATCTTGGTGTGAAACTGTGAATTACTCCGAATAATCTAAACCCTAAACCTAATCTAAACATATGTGTTCTTTGTCAAACAGTCACTGCGATCATCACAATTCATGAGAAAGAAGTAGAGCCCCACAGGTTCTTCTAGGTGGATGGTGATGGCTGTTCCGTGTGTTTATGTGGCTTTGCGCACCCATTTGATACATTATTGCACACATAAAATTAAAGGGGTTTATATAGTTCAGTCCACCCCTAAAGTGGAACTAACATTTTTAGTGGTGGACTGAATCCTGCCCGTGGATTGATGTCAAATTAACAGGCAGGATGCGGTTTATAGGGGATTATTAGTAGATTAGGAGGGAGCTGCAATTTCTAATTTCTGAGATGGATTGCAGTCCACTTTTATGAAAATATTATTTCATTATATTCCTCAACTAGCTAGTGATGATAAAAGGAAAATTACATATAATCCTAATTCTGATTTTTTATGTATAAAATATAAATTATTCTTCAAATAGCAATGTTAATTGCCTTTTAAAATAACCAATATATATATGGCCCATATAACCATGTAAGATTAAATTGGCATTATAATTGTTTCTGTTATAGAGGTGAGTAATACTAATACTAAAAAGTGGGAAAATTTATGATGCAGAAAAGATATGGTATGGAAAGAGTTTTGACCAATCAAAATCCACCCATGAATTTTAGTAAATAACATGTGATTGACTACGGCATTTATGATTCCAGTCAACTGGTCATAAGTTTTTCAAATATCATATCTTTTTCATATCATAGTAGAACTCCTAAAAAATTACTCAAACCTCTCGCATGTTTTCTGACAAAAATTTATTCTCTATACCTCAACTTCCACAAACCTCTCATGCTTTCCATTGATTTCCTTAGTCTTAGGCTCCTTTTCATGATCTTAATCTGCATATTTGTATATTTGTACTGTACATATTTATATTTGTACTCTTCCCAAATGGAATGGAGYCTTATGAAAAACACTAAAGCTTTGAAATTTTTAAAATTTCATTTTTGCCCATTAAAAAACTATATCGTGATGAATATTTATGGAATTATACCCCCCAAAGGCGGTTCACTTCATTTAATTGAGTTTTTATTATTCTCTTCTCAAATGAAAAAAAAAGGCGGGATTGAACTTGAACCTAGATCCCCTACTTGAAGAAACACGTACTTAGGCAATTTGATGAGTGAACAATGGTGTTCATTGTGCACATTCATAACAAGGACATTGCTGTATTTTCAATGTCTTTTTTATATGATAATTAATGCAAAGTGTGCATTTGCATATATGTTTGAAAATGTGAAGGGGAGGTTTAAGTATGTCAAAAAAACATGAGAGGGTTTAAGTAAATTGCCTAAAAATGTAAGGGCAGATCGTTCAAATTTTAGAAAGCATATAGGGAGGACTTTGAAGTGTGGATGTTTGGGTTAATCTGGTTGGGTTTATTGTCAACTTGCTCATGTAGTCAGATTGCACAGGCAAAGTCACAGTCAGGCCCCGTTTACTTTTCCCTAAGTTACTTACCTGGGCAAATGCATTGAGAAACACTTAGGAGATAATATTATTTACCCGAATAAGTGATATCCAGAAAAATAATTTTTTCTTAATCTCACATAAATCTAAAAAAAGAGTATGGGATTCTAAGTCAATGGGAAAAAAAAAACGCCCCCTCAAAGAAGAGGTGTGTGACAGTTTCTTCTTGGCAAGAGCATATGGGCAGGGCATGAGGTGTCTTGAATGTTGACTCCTTTACTTGAGAGGTGGGATCTAGTGGGTACGCTTTCCCATAAGAATTTCCACATGAAAAATTGAATCCGGTGTGGTATTTGGAGCTTCCATATGTCACACCACAATCTATTCATGCCTGAGCTCGATGGAGTGTGATTGCTAAAAGTTCTATATGCGGATCGAACTGTGTAGTCTCCATTCCCTATGTGTTTCCAAACAACTGTATCCTCTTTGAAGAGAGTGAACCAAGTTCACCTGCAAGATATGAGAGGTTTCTATATCATTGAAGAGTGATTCCACTAGTGTTATATTCCATGATCCATTTTCATTTATTAGATCTACGATTTTGAGTTGGTCTTTGGTCCGATCATCTACTTCTACTCCTGTAGGTGTGCCTCCTGCCAGTATGGGTAGCAAGGGATCATGGAAAACATAAATCTCTTGGCCATTCTTTGGCAGCCATTCTGTCTTGATTTTTCCCCTTAGGCTGTATTTGTATGAGGTGTAAATTCAAATTTTACACCATAGAAAATGTGAACCGGTTTAGTGATGGATGGAAATTGAGGCCGGTTGATTTTGAAAATTTACACCGATCATGTTTGGTTTTTTATGGTGTAAAGTTTCAAAGTGGGTCTCGACGGAAAAAGGTGAACGGCCATAGATACCTGCGCCTGAAGCGCTACGGAGGCTCACGGTTGTGGTGATCGGCACAAGACCTCACACGAACTACGTGAGAGTGGATTGCACATGAAATGCAGTATTGCATCTTCCTCTCCCCGGTCCAGCGCTCCATACTCGTCGACTCTCTTCAACCCCTGAACGCCCCTCGACTTCGTGCTGCTCCCTCCTTCTTGTCGTAGTGGGGAACTACTTCCTCTTCTCCGCCTTGAGATCAATCCCTTCTTCCTTTGCCAAAATGTGTGTAGAACTTGGCTATGAACTCTTCCGCCTTAAGATCAATCCCTTCTTCCTCTTCTCCGCATGGCACCAATTCGGAGTTTTGCTCATCATCCCCACTTCCCTCACAATCATAATTTCTCTCTTCTTCTTCTTCTCCTAAAAAACTCCTCCCACCACCTTGGTTATATGCGCCATCTTTTTTATCGTGGTCGTTGCAGTAGTCATCCTTGAACTCAAAATGGACGAGCAAATTTATGCATGGGATATGAAACCTGCGTGATGCCGGACGGTGCAGCCCCCTATGCCAACTCCACTGGCATCACATTCAACTTCAAATAGTTTATCAAAACTTGGTAAGGCAAGGACAGGAGCAGTGCATAATTTTTCTTTTATGAGGGCAAAACTTTGCTCTTGTTCTTCTCCCCATTGAAACTTTCCCTTTTTCAAACACTCAGTGATGAGAGCTACAATACTACTAAAGTGTTTGATAAATCGCTTGTAGAAAGTTGCTAACCCAAGGAAACGTCTTACATCCGTGACGTTTGATGGGGTCGGCCACTCCCTAATAGCTTTCACTTTTCTTCATCCACCTTAATTCCATCCTTACTTATAATGAATCCTACGAACAACAAATTATCGCTCATGAAAGTGCACTTCTTTAAATTAGCATATAATTTGTTTTTCCTTAATGCGTTTAATACCTCCCTGATATGTCCAATGTGCTCAGTGATAGATTTGTTGTAAATCAAAATGTCATCAAAACATACCACAACAAATTTACCAATAAAAGGACGCAGTACCTGATTCATTAGCCTCATGAATGTGCTGGGTGCGTTGGTTAATCCAAAGGGCATGACTAACCATTCGAATAGTCCATCTCTAGTTTTGAAAGTTGTCTTCCATTCATCTCTGGGACGGATTCTGATCTGATGGTACCCACTCCTGAGATCGATTTTTGAAAATATTACAGCTCCATCAAGTTGATCTAGCATGTCGTCCAGCCCGGGAATGGGGAATTTGTAGCCAATAGTGATTTTGTTAATAGCCCTGCAGTCAACACACATCCTCCAACTCCCATCTTTCTTGGGTGTTAACAATGCTGGTACTGCACAAGGACTCATGTTGACCTGAATATGCCCCTTTTTCAATAATTCTTCTACCTTTTCCCGTAAGATTTCATTTTCCTTAGGACTCATCCTGTAATGTAGTAGATTAGGTAGACTAGCACCAGGAACAAAATCAATATGATGTTGGATATCTCGCATGGGTGGAAGTTCATTAGGTAATTCATCTGGAACTACATCATGGAACTCATCAAGTAGTCCCTACACATCCACTGGAATTTTGTTTTCCTCCAATGACTCATTCATGCTTTCTCCCTTTACCACCAACAAGTGTACCTCGCGGGTATCCTTACATTCTTTTACAAATTTAGCATGGTGATGTGTAATGGTCAGGGAATTTTTCTCCTCTGCCTTTGGAGCCTTTGGGGAATTCCTTTCTGCCATAGGTAATAAGGTGTAGCGTACACCCTCTTTTTCGAGCTGATAGGTATTCTTCCTACCCAGGTGTTTTGCATCTGTATCAAACTGCCAAGGCCTACCTAATATAAAATATGGAAAGCATCCATATCTACAATATCACAGTATACCTCATTAGAGTACTTACCAATGGAGAATGGGACCTTGCAGCATTCCTCCACCCGTATGCCGCCGACTTCCTTGATCCACCCAATTGTGTATGGGTTCGGATGTTTTTCAGGAAGTAGTTGCAATCTCTGTAGGACATCCCTGCAAATAATATTTTCCTAACTACCACTATCAATAATTAAATCAAATAATTTACCCTGTACAATACATCTAGTGCGAAACAGTCGGTGTCGTTGAGTGGTATCTTTGCTTCTTTGGGACAGCATTAATTTTCTCACAACACAGGTGTATTCTTCATGTTCATATGGACCTTCTTCGTCCTCCCCATCAGGTCCACAATATACTTCATCTTCAACATCTTCTTCCTCCTCCCTCTCTACCATGTTAATTGCCTTCCTTCTGGGACAGTCACTAGACCTATGCCCAACTTCATTGCACTTAAAGCACTTAAAAGGAGCAGGTTTTGCATAGGGATTACTGGGCTTAGGAGGGTTTGAAGGGTTACCTCAAGTGTTTCCTCCCGTGGTGGCCTTACCGATGTTAGCTGTACTCGACGGGTGGGAAGGTTGTACTCTTGGGGCTGATTTGTTCTTGTCGACTGCTGTCGGTCTGTTGTCGCTCCCATTGTACCGTCGATAATTATCACCTCGAGTCCTCTCTTTGAACAGTAATTCAGCCTTCAAAGCTAGGTTCCTTGCTTCCTGTACACTAAGAACCATTTGGACGGCAATTTTGTCTCTGATAGCCGGTTTCAAACCGCTCAGATAACGGGCTGCCTGCTGGTTATCGCTTTCAAATAGCTGATTTCGTTCAACCAATCTCAAAAATTCAGATGTATATTCATTGACGCTTCTTGATCCCTGTGCACACCGTTGATATGATTCAAACATATATTGCTCATAATCAGGGGGTAAAAATCTACCTCTTATTAGCTGCTTCATGCGCCTCTAGGTTCGAACAGGACCTCTTCCTTCTCTGATTCGGGTCTCTCTCATCCGTTCCCACCAAACAGATGCACCTCCCTTCAGTCGGAAAGCTACTAATTTCACCCTTCGTTCTTCCGGGATCTCCATGTACTCGAAGAAACGGTCGACCTCTGTGATCCAATCTAGAAGGCCCTCTATATCCAGATCCCCACTAAAAGTAGGAATATCTACCTTGAGTTTAAATTCGTCATTATTCCGACGGGGATTAAAATTACTCGGGTTGCGCCAATTTCTACTGTTTCTGCCATCGCCGGGAATAACTGGAGCAACACCAAATTCTAGCTCGTCGTCACTATCATCATCAAGAACAGGGTGTCGGGGTACAAGATTGACGAGTGGTCTATCGAGGTCATCTCCTTCGATTGGATACGGATTCTCCCGGTTTCGTGGAACATCCTCCTATAACAAGGTCTGCAGTTGTCCAACGATCTTTGCCAACTACTGTTCGATGTTACGTGTTGCTGTGCGCTGCTCTTCGATTGCTCTCCAAACAGCTTGTAACCCCTGATCTCCGTCACGGGGTGGGTTGCGATTTCTACCATCTTGGTTGGCCATCTGACTGGGCAAACACCCGCTCTGATACCACTTGACGCAGCATGGAAGCAACAAACCGGGCTGGCTATGCAAGCACCGGGCGAACACAAGGCTTCATAGTGGGGCCGGTTAGAGCTATACGTGAATCTCTAGAAGAGAGAGATAAGTTGGCAAAAACTCGATTGTGTCTATTAGCTTGGAAATAACAGTATTTATAATACATATGGAGAATTGTAAAGTAACTAGGAAAGAAAAAGTTGTAAGTGATCTAAACATCTACTCTTCTAGCTAGGATCGAAGTCTTCTTTGAGGTTGCCTTGATCTCCACCGTCCAATCTTCCTGGATCTATCCACGCATGTGTTATCCTGTCTTCTTGGAATTACCTTGAATTATCTTGAATCTTGGAATTATCTTGATCCTGCATGTGTATTCCAAGAAAAGAGACCCATTGCCTTCTTTACTGAAAAGTTATGTGAAGCCAAGAGTAAGTGGTCCACTTATGATAAAGAATTCTATGCTGTAGTTAGAGCATTGAAAATATGGGAACATTATTTAATTGCAAAAGAATTTATTCTTTACACCGACCACCAAGCTCTTAAGTATCTCAGTAAGCAAAAACAGATGAGGAATGACCTGCATGCAAGATGGTCTGCTTTTCTTGATAAATTCCCATACAAAAATATGTATAAGGTTGGACAACAAAACACAGTGGCCGATGCTCTTAGTAAACGTGTAGCCCTCATCAGGACTCTCAGTATTGAAATTGTGGGAAAAATGCATGAATCGACAGCCAGGAGGTGATTTCTACATTCATGATGGGTTCCTTATGAAAGGGGAACAACTGTACATCCCTTGCACCTCCCTCCGCGAAAAGATCATTAGGGATCTGTATGGGGGTGGATTAGCAGGACACCTTGGAAGAGACAAAACAATTGAAGCAGTCAAGGGGCATTACTACTGGCCGAAATTAAGAAGTGATGTGACCACTATTGTGAGTAGATGCTATATCTGTCAGACAGCTAAGGGACAGGCCCAGAATACTGGCCTCTACATGCCTCTACCTGTTCGTACTGCAATTTGGGAAGACTTGTCCATGGACTTCGTGCTAGACTTGCCAAAAACTCCAAGAAATATGGATTCCGTCTTCGTAGTAGTTGATCGGTTCTCCAAGATGGCTCACTTTCTCCCATGCAAGAAGACCGCAGATGCAACAGCGACAGCCAATCTATTTTTTAGAGAGATTGTCCGTTTACATGGGGTACCTAAGACCATCACATCGGACTGAGATACGAGATTCTTAAGTCACTTCTGGATGACCCTGTGGAGGCTATTCGACTCATCATTGAATTTCAGCAGTACAGCCCATCCGTAGACGGACGGACAGACAGAGTTGGTGAATCGGACCCTTGGTAATTTGATCCGCAGTATCTGTAGGGAGAGACCGAAGCAGTGGGACTTCTCCATAGCATAGGCCGAGTTCGCCTACAATAATACAGTCCATATTTTAGATAATTAATAAATATATAAAATAAATATTTTATTGATATAAAGTATTTAAATATATAAATTATTTATATAATTTAATTATTATATATAAATTATATAAAATATTTTATATATTATATATAAGAATTAAATAATGAATCGAATTTAAATATTTATCGAATCGAATCAGGTTATATCCAAATTCGAATCCAACTAACTATTCAGTAAAAATAAAATATTCTAATCATCCAAATTCGATTCGATTATATCAAATATCAAATTTAAAATCGAATTTTCAAATAGTTGACATCCCTAATACCCTTTGCTCTTGGCCTGCCAAATGCTTTTATTATTGTAGTATTTTGGTTGAATGACCTGGGCCCACAATGAAGATCTCTCCCTAGGGAGCCTCCAAAGTTGCTTTGCAAAAAGGGCTAAGTTCATCTCTTTTAATTTCCGGATCCCAAGGCCTCCATATATCACGTTCGTTGAACATAGCGCACATGGTGACTTACAAGGCGTGTATAACAAATGAATATCTTGTTTTCCATGATCACACCTTCCTGGATGAGAAATCTTTTTTTGTACCCATCCAGTGATCCAGTGAGGGGGGGTCCTCAATGTACGTTCACACTAAAGTAATGAATCTCTTCTTCTTTTCAAAAAAAATGGTAAAACCCATTATTCATTTTACAATTTTTTATCTAATTTAAAGAATTATTTATTCAAGATTGTACAAACCAATTCTGTGTCATTATGAGAACTGATGCGAATAAACGAATTGTTTATTGGGTACTTTTTTTTTCTTGTGATGTATATAAATCCAATTCTATATCTTTACTTGTGATGTATATAAACTATTGTACGCTTACTAGAGATAAACCTATTATGATTTTATTTAATTTTTGTTTACATTTATTTCATCACTGGTTAATCCGTTTGGCCCGGATGGTCAAACTGCTCATCCATGACCCAGAAGGAAAAACGTTTTGATTTCAGGTCGTTTTTTAAAACATTGGTTCTGGCCATCAGTTTTCGAGTCAGTGGTTTGATAATCTGATTTAGACGAATGGTCTGTTCTAATTTAAAAAGTTAAAAATAATTAAAATAAAAAATGGCCAAGCATTGTTATTCAGGTCAAGTGGTTCGACRGTTCAATCACCTAGATCAGTGGATTACTAGCCAAGATACAGGTTAAAGGTGAAATGAAACCAGTTGTATGTCTAAATGGTTTTCGGGCCTAATGATCCGACCATTTGGATCAATGACTGTTCAAAAACCATGAAAGATAATATGGAACTATGGATGCCAAAACAACTTCAATTATGTGCTTTTTTTTCCATTTTTTTCTGGGGTGGGCGCTTAATATAATCATTCACACTTGTTCCTTGATGCTGATACTGTATCATTGCTTTGGAAAATGCAGCTTCGTGGTGGTATTATTGGGTACGTTTATCCATTGACAAGGAAACATGCAATTCCGCATGGTCTTTCTACTAAAATTAGTATGATTCCCATTGGAAAATGCGCTTAATATAATCATTCCCAAGGCGATGATAACATTGAAGACTTTCTATCAAGCTACAATAATCTCATGCCAATTAGGTATTCTTATTCAAAAATAAAGAAGATGACAAGGGGGTTTAAGGAAAAATTAGGCCAAGGAGGCTATGGCTCTGTATTTGAAGGAAAGCTTCGAAGTGGCCATCCTGTAGCTATAAAGATGTTAGATCAATCAAAGGGAAATGGCCAAGAATTCATCAATGAAGTTGCCACCATCGGAAGGATTCATCATGTCAATGTGGTGCAACTTGTGGGGTTCTGCTCGGAGGGTTCAAAAAGGGCTCTTGTTTATGATTTCATGCCTAATGGTTCCTTAGAGAAATACATCTTTTCTCCACAAGAAAACAGTACCCCTCTGATCAGTTGGAAGCAAATGTATGACATCGCCTTGGGAGTAGCTCGTGGCATTGCATATCTACATCAAGGATGTGATATACATATTTTACATTTTGATATCAAGCCCCACAATATTCTTCTTGATGAAAACTTCATTCCAAAGATATCTGACTTTGGGCTTGCAAAGTTCTATTCTACGGATGAAAGTATTGTGAGCCTAACAGCAGCACGTGGAACAATGGGATATATAGCTCCAGAGTTGGTCTACAAAAACATTGGAAATGTCTCATACAAGGCTGATGTTTATAGCTTTGGAATGCTATTGATGGAAATGGCGGGGAGAAGAAAGAACATAAATGCATTTGAAGAGCATTCAAGTCAAATTTACTTCCCCTCTTGGGTTTATGACCAGTTACATGAAGGAAGAAACTTGGAAATAAGAGATGTCACAGAAGAGGAAAAGGAAATTGCAAAGAAGTTTGTTGTAGTCGCATTATGGTGCATACAGATGAATCCTATGGATCGTCCTTCCATGAGCAAGGTTATAGAGATGCTGGAGAGCAACGTTGAACTTCTGCAAATGCCACCAAAACCTTTTCTGTATCCACCAGATATGCCGGTTAATGCTCGTGTCACACAGATGGAACCAATACAATCACTGTCTTGTGATTCTTCTGATTCAATTACCATAACTTTGGAAGTAAATTGAACATGAACTGATTATTATGTTCTGCAATATGCATCAAATACTAAACTGGTGCATATATTGCTCTACTTCTTTATTAGGAACAATTAATAAGATGATCTCTGTAAGTATTGTTGCTTAGCTTGTACAGGCTTTGAGCATGATGGTTTTATGCTTCACTGGCATGTTAACAGTGATTTACATTTTCTTCTGATCCAGATTTCACATTTGCAATCAAAGTATGAACTCTTTACTTTGTATATTACTATTGGTAACTTTTACATGGCCTTTAAGCATGTATTTATCTGCAAAAGGAAAGGGGAAAAACTAATCTTTTGGTAATATTTGTTTCAAGAATACAGAGACCTGTTTTTGTATAAGCAGAAAAGAAGTTGCTCTATCTTTTGTTTTGGATCAATACTACTATTTCTTTTTATTGACAAAGAAAGCATATAGTCAAACAAAAAGAATTAACATAAACAACCAGTATGACTTGGACACATAATCCAATATGAGGTGAGACAGAGCTAGTGGAGAATGAACACATCAGCCAATCCAGTGGGTATGGATGGTTTTGGTTAATGGTTATCCACATCATCTCTTCCTCTCTCTATTAAAACTCTCAGTTTTTATCTAAACATGACTACAGTTTCAGGTTTGGCTGGCCAAATTTCAAAACGAATCACCAGACACAGATAGAAACAACCATGATCCGTTTTATCATTGCACAGAACAATTGCAGAAAATTGACAGACTTTTGTTTTAATTTTTGCCAGGAGGTGAGGTATGTGAAAAATCAAGTAAATATGAAAATGTTATAATTACGGGTCTCTACTGAATAGACAATGTAGAAGACTAGTGGATTGACATGAGGGCAGTAGGAGTAACTACATTATGTCGCCCATTCAAGTTTTCCAACATAAATTAACCATAATTTGAAACAATAACTAGGGCCGGCAATCTTGACCCCAACCCATTTGACCCACCCACCTTGGAATCCATCTATACCCACCCAATCTATTGTGAGTCAATATGGGTCAAGTAACCCATTAGGGTCAATGGAAAAGGGTTAGGGTGGGTTGGATCGCACAGGTCAGGATGAATTGGGTTAAAGTCAATTCTATCTATACTTGTCAAATCTCAAAAAAACAGCAGTTGAAGTGACTCAAATTCAAGCCTCTTAGTGCATTCACATCTCATTACAATTCCAAACCACCATGCCATATGTCATTTTCAAATTAGAAGTGAAATAAAATAGATTTTATTAACTTTCTTGTTCACGTGCCATTCCACACAAAAACACTTTTACAAAAGCAATTTTATAAAGTTCTTTATGAAAAGGACTTTTACGAAAGCACGTTTAAAAAAGTACTTTTACATGAAAGTACTTTTATAAAAGTACTTTCACGAAAGTAATTTTACAAAAGCACTTTTACAGGAAAGCACTTTATGAAAGTATTTTTATGAAAACATAAAAGTACTTTTACACGAAAGCACTTTTATGAAAGTACTTTTATAAAAACACTTATGAAAGCATGAAAGCACTTTCATAAAAGTACTTTTATGAAAGAACTTTTACAAAAGTTCTTTTACATGAAAGCACTTTTATAAAAGTACTTTTATGAAAGCACTTTTACAGAAGTACTTTTGTGAAAACACTTTTGTGAAAGCACCTTTAGGAAAGCACTTTATAAAAGTTTGGGTAAAATACAAAAACTTCCCTTAAAGTTTCTAACAATCATAAAAACCTCTCCTATAGTTTTGTTGTAATAAATACCTCCCCTGAACATTTAATTTTCTTAAATGCCAATTTTACCCTTTTGTGATTGGAAATTGGGTACATTTGAGCAACTTAGAGAAGGATTCGTGAAAGTCAAGTATGAGCTTCGTTCAGCAGCAAGGGATGTGGCGCAGAGGAATTCTTTATGAGCATGGGGCCTAGCAAGGGATCTTGACCTCCCAAAGCTCCCAACTTGATTGGAGAATGCATCAGAATCTACGTCTTGCGATTTAGAGAGGGACCCATCTTCTAATGGCTCTTCGAGCGCTTCTTTAAGCTTGTTTTCCTGCAGCTGTTATAGGATCGAGGGCCTTCGCTTTTCTTCCTCTGTCCAACTAGAACCATCTCTTGTTCTGCTCTTCTTCTCCAGGATTAGGGCCGTACTGTGAGATATAGGTTTCCATAGTGAAAGGAAAGATGCATGAATGCTTCCCTGTCACAAGCCAATCCACAGAAATGAAAACGAACCCGAGTTCACCCAGGCTTTAGCCCATTAAACAAAACTACAAAATAAATTCAGTTTCAGACCCTACCAGGTTCAACAGAAGGCAAAAGGTATCCGAGCTTTCCCAAAACCAAGCCTCTATTTCAAAAATCAAAATCTTGGTGCAAAGAGGGAAGATGGCAGAGATTCAGCAACATTCCCAAACTTTAATCGGGCCGAGGGGTCTTTACATTTTATCCAAAATATTCAAACACCCCAACTCAAAATATTCTTCCATTAACGACCACAACTTTAACAAGATCATGAATACTTGGCCCGAAAGAAATGAAAAGGAAAAAGAGAAAGAATAGAGATATGAAGTAAAAAAGGAAAATAGTAAGATGGAGATCTAAGTCCAACCCAACCTTCAATCGTAGTTAAATAAAACCCTAATTTAAGCCCATGGTTCAAGAACCCTAAGTTTAGGATTCAATTGAAAGCGGAATACATCTCAACAACCTGAAAAATGATGAAAAGGTACCCCAGGGTTCAATCCCATAGAACCCGGAATACATCGTCAACTGAAAGCGGAAGCATATTTGTGAAGACGATGGCGCCAGTGCCCATGCTGCGTGGGTGGTCGGTGGCATTTTCCAGTCTAGGGCAGTGAAGAAGGGTAAAATTGGTATTTAAAAAAATTAATGCATCAGTTGACTCGTTTGGGTCATTGTCAGAGGGGAGGTTTTTGTTGAGTTTATCAAAAGTTCAAGGGAGATATTTGTTACACCGAAACCATAGGGTAGGCATTTATGATTATCAGAAACTTAAAGGGAAATTTTTATATTTTATCTTAGAAGTTATGCATTTTCTGCAATTCTTGGTATTTTTGCAATTTTCTTCTATTTTTCTACACTTTTTGAAATTTTCTGATATTCTGCATTTTCTACAATTTTTTGGTGTTTTTTTGCATAATTTTTGTATTTTTTGGTGTTTTTTCATGCATTTTCTGCAATTTTCTAATATATTTTTTGCTTATTTTCTGATTTTCTGCAAAAGTTCTGAATTTTCTATAATTTTTGGTATTTCTTGCATTTTTTATAATTTTTTCTACATTTATCTACAATTTTTGCATTTTCAAGTATACAGGTTGACCTGACTTATTTTTGTCACATGACAGTTTTGAGAGAGATTATTCTCTCAAAAATTATTATTTCAGGTATATGCATCGCCCCGACCCATTTTTGTATTTATAGATGAGGGTAGATGGATTAGTATGGGTGAGGGTGATTAAGGGTCAATATGAATGAGTCAAGTGGATCAATATGGATGGATCAAGTCACAGTAGATTATGACCCTTAACAAGGATTGATAATGGGTCATGATGGGATGGATCCTGGTGGATTGGTGGATCAATATAGGTGGATTGGTATTCAATCCTTACCCAACCCAACCCAACCCACCCATTTGCCACCCTTAGTCAATTACCATAGCTACCATAGAACACATTGGCTTCAGTTATTCAACGAATAGAAATAAAGGAAAAGAGATACACACCGAGAACACCTACACATACTTTTGATTAGGGCTGCAAGTTACGTTGCCTGATTTCAAGAATTTCAAGATGGTGTTCAGGCACATTGAAAATCTTACCTAATTCCCAACCAACCCAAGTTGCACCCCTTCATATGCTTTGTTAAGATGTTATTCCCTCAAATTTTATGTTTCACCTATCCKATATAAATAAATCTAAAAATAGCCGCATGGGTCATAACTCGTAGAGAGTTGGAATAAAATTTTGATTTCACCATCCACACACGGGCTTTGGCGTGGCTCAGTCCGTGCTCCCAAGCTGTAAATTCATCAATTCCATCTTCCGTGTTACGGTGCAGACCATCCTGTCTCGACTTCCAGTTCTGAAATGGATTAATTGTTGGAGGCCCAACAAACAGCCAAATCCAAAACCTTTCCCACCCAATACAATTACCAACCAAAAGGATGAGAACTTGAGTAAAAAAGAAAAATGACTCCCACACGATACCTCTGATCCTTAGAAGTGGATCTTTCCTATCCTTTGGTCTTTACCTTCTTTTTAAGTTTTCTCGAACTTCATTCTCTAAGCCATATCCCAAGTAAGATCCTGAGGACCCAATCACCCATTGCTCTTTGTGGTTACAACTTACAAGGGGCACGAAAGAGACAGAGAGTGAGAGCATTTGCAAATCCATCTAGTACTAAATGTAAAAGGAAAAACAATCACATTACTATTACCACTAACAACATAGAGATAATGCAGAAAAAGAAAGGTCCACTGATCAGATGGATTACGAAAAGAAAAGACGTCAGACATAAAACCAAGGAATTAATATTCTGAGAATTCACAGGAGAATGACGATGCCAGCAAGAAACAGAGTGATCGGATCAACACATGCAACCCCCACGGAGCCTAAGGACAAGATGAAGAGTTGATTCCTTCTGGATATTGTAGTCCGCCAGGGTGCGACCATCCTCAAGTTGCTTCCCAGCAAAAATAAGCCTTTGTTGGTCCGGAGGGATACCCTCTTTGTCCTGAATCTTGGCTTTCACATTGTCAATGGTATCAGAGCTCTCCACCTCAAGTGTGATAGTCTTGCCTGTCAATGTCTTCACAAAAATCTGCATCCCACCACGTAGACGAAGCACCAAATGCAATGTAGATTCCTTCTGTATGTTGTAATCGGCCAAAGTGCGTCCATCTTCCAACTGCTTCCCAGCAAAAATGAGCCTCTGCTGATCAGGTGGAATACCCTCCTTGTCTTGAATCTTTGCCTTCACATTATCAATGGTATCTGAGCTCTCTACCTCCAGAGTAATTGTCTTCCCCGTCAAGGTCTTGACAAAAATCTGCATACCACCACGGAGACGGAGAACAAGGTGAAGGGTTGATTCCTTCTGTATGTTGTAATCAGCAAGGGTACGGCCATCCTCAAGCTGCTTCCCGGCGAAGATGAGCCTCTGCTGGTCTGGTGGAATACCCTCCTTGTCTAGTATCTTTGCCTTCACGTTGTCAATTGTGTCTGAGCTCTCAACCTCTAGAGTGATTGTTTTCCCAGTGAGGGTCTTCACAAAGATCTGCATACCTCCTCGAAGTCTAAGAACCAGATGCAAAGTAGACTCCTTCTGAATGTTATAGTCAGCCAAGGTCCTGCCATCCTCTAGCTGCTTTCCAGCAAAAATCAGCCTCTGCTGGTCTGGGGGAATACCCTCCTTGTCCTGGATCTTTGCTTTGACATTATCAATCGTATCTGAGCTCTCAACCTCAAGGGTTATGGTCTTTCCAGTAAGCGTCTTTACAAAAATTTGCATTCCCCCTCTCAACCGAAGAACTAGGTGGAGTGTAGATTCTTTTTGAATGTTGTAATCAGCCAAAGTCCGGCCATCTTCAAGTTGCTTTCCAGCAAAGATCAATCTTTGCTGGTCTGGGGGGATTCCCTCCTTGTCTTGGATTTTGGCTTTGACATTATCAATTGTATCAGAACTCTCCACTTCGAGAGTTATAGTCTTTCCTGTGAGGGTCTTGACAAAGATTTGCATCTGTGAAACAAGAATAGATTATTGACCATAATATCTAATGAAATCAAATCAATCCCAACCTCAAAATTGTAGCTGAAAAACGAAACAGTATAGAAGGCATATATGGCCATGGTTTGGAACAACCAATTATAACCAATCTCAAGTCTACATAGAAAGTAGAATGGCTTAATCAATGGCGTCTATGCAAAAGAAAAAAGGGGAAATCAAGCTCACTTCATTGATATATAGGAACATCAAGTCAAAAAAGGATTAAGTAGTAAGAACTAGGAAGAATATGAGAAAATTGATAATCACATAATTCAATTTAGCAACAAAAGCCATACAATCCAATTGAATCCAATATCAAATTATCTTTTCTCTTGTATATCACAATATGAAAGATCAGTGATGTCCTTGTTTGCAAAAACACATTCCTCAAAAACATGGATTAAACCACAAACCCCAACCCAGGCAACTATCAATGCCTAAACAAAATATGTCAACTTGTTTTCGGTTAAAAATAGGTGCCATAATCATCTTCATCAATATCACACCCAGTTTAACCGATTCTTTGATCAGTCAAAACATAGGGAAAATTTCACAGAAATTACATAACCAGTAATCTTTCTACAAAACCGCTTTTATTTCGCTGACGAAATTTCTAAGCGATTAAAACATTGTGGTCAATCATTAGAAACTATCACCTTAAACATATTTATAATAATCTAAAAGATAACCAAGCTGCAAAAGCAATCAGACACGTACATGGTTATATTAGAATGCTAATAACATTGTAAAACACCAACAACAACGAAGATCTAGCAGAAGTCCCAACAGAAAACCCTCTTAGGGTGGAAAAAGGAAATCAATCCAGGATGCAACCTATGGATCTAATTAATCCACTACTAAACAAAAGAACTGGAAATCGAAGAACAAAGGATATAATCAGAAATTGATGAATTGAGGAACAAGCCAAAAGAAAAGAACATCCAATCGAAAGCCTTACCTTGAAAGGTGAAGTAGAGAACTCGAAATCCTCGAGACAGACAGAGAACAAAAGGCTTGGGTGAGAAAGGGAGACGGAAGGATTCTATTATATAGTAATGAGTCGTAACAAATTCCATCTTCCACGTTTCCTTTTTCTAATCCATGCACGTCATCCTTTACGGAATCGATACGAAAAGGGAACGTAAACAGCAAGAAACGGGAATTGGGATCCTCACACCGACTTCACTGCCACGTGACGGAATCTGTTCCTCACAAATGGGCGCCTCACATGCACATCCACCGTGTATTGGGAACATCTACCGTGAATAATAACAAATAAATATGGAAATTGTTCCCAATGTATCATAAAATGTGGTGAGGCGCTTCTGAGGCGCCAAGGGTGAGGAGCAGATCCGGTCTCCGCTGCCACTTCCCAATTAATAACATTTCCCATAAATAATAAATATAAATACGGGAGATATTCCCGATGTACGGCGAAAACATGATGTAAGGTTAGTGTGAGGGGCCCTCTATGGAGATTTCCCGGCTAGAATATGTGAGGTTAGTGTGAGGCGCTTTGTGAGGAGCATATCCAAATTCTATTAGAGCATGCCTCACATTGACTTCACAACATGTTCTGGCCGCACATCGGGAACATCTCTTGTACTTATATTTATTGTTTATGGGGAGATGTTCCCAATACAAGGTGGGATGTGAGCTATGTGGCTGAGGTTGGTGTGAAACGTGGTCTATGAGGAACAGATCCCACAAGTCTGGATCTGCTCCTCACAGAGTGCACCTTACACCGACCTCACAACATGTTCTGACCGTACATCAAAGACATCTCTCATACTTATATTATTATTTATGGGGAGATGTTCCCAATACAAGGTGGGATGTGTCTGTGAGGTTGGTGTAAGGCATGGTCTATAAGGAGTAAATCCCATAAATCCGAATCTACTCCTCACAAAATACACCTCACACCGACCTCGCAGCATGTTCTAGCCACATATCAGGAATATCTCCATGCTTATATTTATTATTTATGGGAAGATGTTCCCAATACAAGATAGGATGTGGTATGAGTTCTGTGTGAGACGTGGTCTGTAACGACGTTGAATACTAAAATTGCAGAATTGCTTTAATGTCGATGGCTTAGAGCTGAAACTTAGAGGGTCCAACCGATTGGGCCTGAATTTTCGGCTTCAAATTGGGCCTGGGTCAAAAAATTCGGGCCTGGCCTATGGGTTTTGGATTTGACTATTTAAGTCCCCTGAGCAAAACACATGAGCATTTTGTTTATTATAAAAGCATCTTTCTTTATGTGTATATGTATATTTATAAATAAAATTTATATATATTTTCGATCAATTCTATTATTAAATTAGGCCCTTATGTCCAATAAAAAATAACAAAAATATAGTCATAAATTCTATTAAATTTGACTAATTCACCCAAGATCAGTCCAACATATGTTGGATTAAGCTTGAAATGGGCACGGATTGATAACTCAGGCTTAACCTCAGGTTGGATCAGGCCTGAGCCCAAAGTTTGCACCTTTAGAGTTGTGTTTAGGTTGATCTCAACCCAATCCAAACCGATCAAGTTACACTTCATTTGGTAGACAATAAGAAGTAGAAAGTTGAGAAAAAAAAATTGTTTCTCATTTTTTACAAAACCAAACACAGCGTAAAGATCAAATAATTTTTATGGTAGGTAGGATATTCGAAATCTGTTAGAAGATGTCTTTAGCAACTAATTAAATCATATTAACGAATAATTCATTAGATATAAAGTATAACTTATTAATTTTTAATTAAGATAATTATTAATTTTCCTACTCTCATGTGATTAATTCTCCAAACCATTTTGCTCTATTTGTCAACTTCTCAAAACATTGTTATGAGCATACACCCTGTTAGGCTTACGGGTGCAAGTCGGATGCTGGGACAAGTTTAAGGCTCAACCCGGGGTCAACCTTAAGTTTGGAGCCTAATCTAGATCAATGTAAATCTGTCCGGCCCAAACCCAATTTGAACTCAAATTTGACATATTTGAATTGGGTCCAAGCCCAGGCCGGAAAATTGGGCTTAGGTGGGCCTATTAGGCTCCATGTAAGATAAAAAGAAAGCAACTTCAAACTTGTACCAGAAAAATTGAAAGAAGTAAATACCAAATAGGATTTGACTCAGAACAGTGATAAAACACCTACATTTTGTATGTATTTGTACTCTTTCCAAACTGAGCCTTGTATTTTATAGAGAGCAAAATTTTGTATTTTATATTATTTTATATGTATTTGTACCTTAAATGCACACTAGTGAACCAACACCATTTCTAATGATAATGCCAACCCAATTATGTAAATGTCCGATCCACATTTACCACTCACCAGCCACCCGATCTTTCTCTCTCTCTCTCAACCTTGACTGACATGTCAGGGCAAAAACCACCCACCCTACACTTATTTTGATGTCAGCATGTGATCACACATAACATTACAAAGCCAATAAATAAATAATACAGGTGACATTTGCTAAAGTTCCAATTGTGCCCTTATCAACTTGACTCTACATCAAATATACCAACATGGCCAACAACGATTCTGCCTTTTTCTCCACCTCCCAAATTTAATCAAATGTTCAAGGGCCCACTAAGTGGGCGGTTGAATCATCAAGAGTAAGACATGTTGCAAGTTATGAGCCCCAGAACATGTTATGCCACTGTCTCTCCTTACCCAAACTTTTTGCATTGTAGCACTGATTAATTCTGTCAGCAGGAGGGAAAGTAATCCAGAAATTCGCTCAGCTGATGGCAGAGCAGAGACTAGAGAGAGAGAAAGAGAGATGTAACTTTAGGAACTGGTGCCTTGCCTGAGCTGAAATATAGGTTAAAAGTTTAGTTAGACTTAGACATGCTCTAGGTTGTCCCATTAAAGGGCTTAGACCAACTTGCATAAATCTTGTAAGGTGGCTTGGCTGGTGCAAAGACATACTGGGCCTGGGCTGACAACCCAGCATTATTCTTAATACTATATAGAAACAATCATTGGACATGGGCTGGCGGGCCCAATAACAAGTATTTGAAAGCTCCAAAGTGAATAAAATCATGCATCTAATCTACTCTGTTTTTTTTTTTTAAATGTGTCAGCACCCTCTTATCTAGGCTGAATCCACCAATGGTTGGTCCTGGTCGTGCTCATCTGAATGTGTAATCTGTTGTGGGTCAAGCGAAATCGAGACAGCAAATACAGGTACCAATAACTGTCATCCAAGAGGGAACCTCTCTAGTTTGGACACCTGTTTTCACTTATCCGTTCACAGCAACCATACATACAGTTTGCCTACATTGTGTTAGACAGTTTTCCTCAATGACACAGTTTCAATATTTTAGCTTAATACCCCTTAAAACAGGGCTTATTTCCAATGTGAGGCCCTTTTGGGCTTCCAACACGATTAACTCAAGGTTTTGTACAGAGCCGATGCAGATTCAGAGGTTCCCAGCTGGTTCAGACTTCAGTAGACACAGTTCGAAACAGCCACAGCATCAGTACAGTAAGTAATACGTGGCGAAAACGATCATGCATGCAGGAAAAGCTCCCTAGCTACTTGACCCGTTTCGGAGATAAAACGGTGTCTGCTAGTGGACTCGAACTCAATAAAGGGGAACCCAAATGGCCCAGCCATAATCACCACCAGTTCCCAGTTCACGGGCCAAATTTCAGCCTCCTAAACTTGGCCACGTATCAAAGCTATGTCCTTTGTAGTGATTGCTTTTGGTTTGGAAAACTCCAACGCGAGGTGGGTATGCAGATGGGTATAAAATGGATTCTGGGGATTGGAGGCAGCAGCGACATTTAGGGGGTCTCCTGTCGAATAATGAATAGCTCAGAACGGCCGAAAGATTCCTCTACCTGTCACACTAATTGGGTTAGGCAGACAAGTTCCCAATTAACACGTGGCAAGTGGTTATGAGCTGAGGTTCATCCCATTCCCATGTGGGCCCCTCTTGGGCTCTCAACTAAATTGCCACGTCAAAGATTCCACTCTTCTGTTTGAACAAAGTTTAAACTAAAATGTAAAGAAATACATTCTTTGTTGGTCATTGATTGGAAACGGCAAAAGGATATAAAAGTGGGTGGAGCATTGCCTATCCAAATTTGGCCATCTCACGGGGAGAAGGAATCTTCTATAATAATGCGAGCTATTTTGGCAGCTCAACTCAAAAGGGTTCACGTGTTGAGTATATTAATTAACCTATATTCATAGTATTGGGAGTTGGGCCACACAATAAATTCTTGGGTAACTGTCAAAAATAACCATGAGTTTTTAATATTTCTCTTAAACTTACTTTAATTTTTCAAAATGTTTAAAGCTTACTGTCACCAACTTGACGTTAAAGAGACTAACGGCTATTAATATATTATCATTTTAATCTTCATACAAAAATATAAGATATATACATATATTTTAATATTTAATATGAAAAAAAGGAAAAAACTAAAAAGAATATTTTCAAATATGAAATACATAAAACACAAAACTTGCAAAAGATATAAAAAATTATAGAAATTGCACTCAAAATAAAAATTATTTTCAAATTATAGATATAGAAATTGAAAAACAAAATCAGAAAATAAAAATTTGTAGAAAAACACTAAAAATTATATATAAACACAAAAATTGTAAATAAATAACAAAAAATACAGGAAATTTTATAGATTGTAGAAAATAGAAAAATGTAAAAAAACAGAAATTATAAAAAACATTAGAAATTATAATAAAATATAAAAAATGTAAAAAAAAAGTTGAAAAATGAAGAAGACCATCTTCCGCTGACTCGTCATTCAAGGGTGATTTGGTCATAAAAATTGTTATTTATACTGACGTAAACACCTCTGTTAAGAAACATTAACGGTGCACTAAAGGAATGTGAGTTTTGGAAAATAAAAACTTACTAACATGGTAAGTTTTAAAAGTTTTGAAAAGTTGTGGTGAGTTCAAGAGAAGTGCTGAAAATTCATGGTGAGTTTTAGACGTTTTGAAATAGTATTAGTCTTCTAAATTTTTAATTAGTTTTTATTAATGTAGGAAGAAGTCAA